CTTGCCCCGCCGGCCTGCCCGCTGCCTCCCCGGCCCAGCACAGCCCCAGATGGGCTGGTGAGCTGCCCCGCTCCCCACCCAGCCCACCCCGCGGTACCTTCTTGGGATCCATGTTGAACTTCTTCCTGCCCATAGCCACCTGCTTGTTCCTCTGCATGTTTTTCCTGCAAGGCACAAAGCAGCTGAGTGCCCAGGAGGGGCCTGGCTGCCTCCCGCCCGGCCCCTCGCCCCTTGGGCAGCGTGCTGTGGGGAGGGGGTCAGCCTGGACCGAACGGGAGCCCAGCAACTTTGACCGGGCCAGGCCCCCTGCAATGGGGGTCAAACCTGCATGGGGTGAAGGTGGCACACTGCTCCATGTCTGCTCCACTCCGCAGCAGAGCGGCGTGGGGGGACTCTTGGCCTGCCGGGCCCCAGAGCAAAGAGGAGTTTCTGTGCCCCATCCACGGGGTCACCCCGTGCAGAAGGGGTGCTGCGTATGGCGTGCAGACGTGGCACTTCGGGACATGGTTTAGTGGGCATGATGGTGTTGGGTTGATGATCAGACGTGATGATCTTAGAGGTCTTTTCCAACCTTAATGATTCTGTGATTCTGTCCTGGCAAGTCACCCTGCACAGGGGGAAGCTAGGGCACGCTGGATGCGGCAAAGCTCTGAGGAGAACAGCCTTCAGGCCCCCGTGGGGTCAGTGTGAGGGGGACAGCCTTCATGCCCCAGTGGATGATTGGAAATGACGCTGGGAGTCAGCTCCTGTCGGCTGCCGGGACCCCCTAATCCCAGGCTGGCACTGCCTGCGCCAGTTCAGAATAACAAAGTCCAACAGTCGCTGTGGCCAGACAGGGGCTGAGGCTTGGAAAAACAGACCTTTGGAGTGGCAGTTCAGACTGGGATCCTGCTCCCACTCCAAGGAATTCAGAGTGCCTGGGAAAGCCACCCACACCAGCACCCACGGGATGGGGCTGCACCGCTCAGTTGCCCACGGCTCCCACATGATGCGAGTTGTCACACCGCAGGGGAGGGGGCTCAGCGGAGACTCTGGGCTGCCACGACAGCAGAGGACTCACCTCTCCTCTGTGGACCCCAGGTTCTCGATCTCATTCGTCACTTCTGCTATCTCATCTTTCAGCCGCTAAGGGGAGAGAGCGCACTGAGACAGGAGATGCCTCCCTCCCTCCCAAACACACCAGCCCCCCAGCCCTGCGGCCCGGGGCCCATCCCCCCAGGAAGCCCCAGCAGCCCCTCCTTCCTTCCCTCCTTCCCACCCAAGTGCTGCCCTGGGGCTGAATCAGCTTGGGGGGCACTTGCAGAAGGGGCTGGCTGCACCCCACTGCTAATCACTCTGCAGCATTGCCATGCTCCGAGTGTGCAGGAAGGAAGAGATTCAGAGGTTAACAAAATTACCCCCTAATTCCTTTAGATCATGCCCAGCATATGGCAGTAATTAGCCTCTGATGCCTTAATCAGGGACATGACTGACGAGTGTCCCAGATGAGCACTGACCTCGCAGTCACTTGCCAGGGCAGTGGCCTGGCCCAGAAACACGGTCCCTGGCTGTGCCAGGGAGGGGCTGGCACGGAA